GAGTTGGTTGGGTTGAGTTGGTTGGGGGCTGAGTTGGTTGGGTTGAGTTGGTTGGGTTGAGTTGGTTGGGGGTTGAGTTGGTTGGGTTGAGTTGGTTGGGTTGAGTTTGTTTGGTTTTGGGCTTGTTGGGTTTGTTGGATTGGGTTGAGTTGGTTGGGTTGAGCTGTTTGGGTTTATTGGGGTGGGTTGGGTTTGTTGGGTTGGGTTTGTTAGGTTTTGGGTTTGTTGGATTTTTGAGTTGTTGGGTTTTGGGTTTGTTGGGTTTTGAGTTTGGTGGGTTTTGAGTTTGGTGGGTTTTGAGTTTGGTGGGTTTTGAGTTTGGTGGGTTTTGAGTTTGGTGGGTTGGGTTTGTTGGGTTTTGGGCTGGTTGGGTTTGTTGGATTGGGTTGAGTTTGTTGGGTTGGGCTTGTTGGATTTCTGGGTTGTTGGATTTTTAGGTTGTTGGGTCGGGCTTGTTGGGTTTTGGGGTTGTTTGGTTGAGTTGGTTGGGTTGAGCTGTTTGGGTTTATTGGGGTGGGTTGAGTTTGTTGGGTTTTGGGTTTGTTGGATTTTTGAGTTGTTGGGTTTTGGGTTTGTTGGGTTTTGGGTTTGTTGGGTTTTGAGTTTGTTGGGTTGAGTTTGTTGGGGGTTGAGTTTGTTGGGTTTTGGGCTTGTTGGGTTTGTTGGATTGGGCTGAGTTTGTTGGATTTTGGGTTTGTTTGGTTGGGTTGAGTTTGTGGGATTTTTGGGTTGTTGGGTTTTGAGATTGTTGGTTGGGTTTGTTGGGTTTTGGGTTGGTTGGATTTTTGGGTTTGTTGGATTTTGGGGTTGTTTGGTTGGGTTGGTCTTGTTGGGTTGAGTTTGTTGGGTTGGGTTTGTTGGATTTTTGAGTTGTTTGGTGTCGGGTTTGTTGGATTTTGGGGTTTGGGTTTTGGGGTTTGGGTTTTTGAGTTGTTGACTTTTGGGCTTGCTGGGTTGAGTTTGTTGGGTTTTGGGTTGGTTGGGTTTTTGGGTCGTTGGGTTTTGGGGTTGTTGGGTTGGGTTTTTGGGTTTGTTGAATTTTTGAGGTTTTGGGTTGTTGGGTTGAGTTTGTTGGGTTTTGAGTTGTTGGATTTTTGGGGTTTGGGGTTTGTTGGATTTTTGGGGTTTGGGGTTTGTTGGATTTTGCCTTTGTTGGGTTGGATTTGTTGGATTTTGGTTTGGATTCTNTTTTGGGGTTTGGGGTTTGTTGGATTTTTGGGGTTTGGGGTTTGTTGGATTTTGCCTTTGTTGGGTTGGATTTGTTGGATTTTGGTTTGGATTCTTTGGGTTGAAAATTTTTTGAATTTGTTGGATTTGGTTTAGGGTTGGACTTTAGGTTTAATTTTGAGTTTTTTGGGATTTTAGTTTGGGTTTAGGCTTGGATTTAGAGTTGGATTATCTTGGGTGGTTTTCCCAGCCTTAAGAATTCCCAGATTTCCAGGATAATTTGAATTTCCTGGAGGGAAATTTCCATGAGGGAATATTTCTGGTTTTGAGGGAATATTTCACTTTCTGAGGGAATATTTCTCTTTTTGAGTGATTTTTTAAATTTGGATTTTATTTGGATTTTTTTATTTGAATTCTATTTGGATTTTTTTATTTGGATTTTATTTGGATTTTTTTATTTGGATTCTATTTGGATTTTTTTATTTGGATTTTTTATTTGGATTTTTTTATTTGCATTTTTTATTTGCATTTTTTATTTGGATTTTTTTATTTGGATTTTCTTTTCAAGGGATTGGTTTCACTGAGGAGAAAAACAAAATAAAAAAGGAAATTTGGTTGTGAGAAATCCCTGGAATTCTGCAGGGTTTGTTCCTTTTTTTTCTTTTTTTTCTTTTTTTTTTTTGCAGGTCCAGGCACTGTGAATTTTTTTTTCTGTGTCTGAAAAAAAAAAAAATTTGGAAAATTTCCCACTTGAAAATCTCTGCCCAAATCCAGAAATTATTTGGAAATCAAATTTTTGAACTTTTTAGGAATGAAATAAAATCCTGGAGTTTGTTTGATTTATTTGTTTTTTTTTTTTAATTTGGATTTCTGGAGGAATTTATTCTCAGTTTTTTCCTTCCCATCCCAGCAACTGCAGGAATTTATTTTTTTTTTTCCTCATTATTTCTTGGTTTATCCTAAAATTTTCCTGACTTATCCTAAAAATTTTTATTTGTAGATTCTGGCAAAAAAAAATAAAAAAAAAATTAAAAAATCAGTTTTATCTGTCGATTTTGCTGCTTGAAAACACGAAAAAAAACCTTTAAATCTTGAATAACTTTATTAATACTTTAAATTTTTTTTTAATTTTTTTTTTATTTTTTTTTTTTAATTTTTTTTTCAGGATCCAGAGCAGCTCCAGGACAAATCCAATGAAATCCTGACTGCCATAATCCAGGGGATGAGGAAGGAGGAGCCCAGCAACAACGTGAAGCTCGCAGCCACCAACGCTCTCCTCAACTCCCTGGAGTTCACCAAAGCAAACTTTGACAAAGAGGTGAAAAATGGGGGAAAAATGGGGAAAAAATGGGAAAAAATTGGGGGAAAAATGGGGAAAAATTGGGGGAAAAATGGGGAAAAATTGGGGGAAAAATGGGGAAAAATTGGGAAAAAATTGGCAAAAAATCGGCAAAAAAAAAGGTAAAAAAGGGCAAAAAATCGTAGAAAATTGGCAAAAAAAATGGCAAAAAATTAGTAAAAGATTGGCAAAAAATCGGCAAAAAAATGGCAAAAAATAGCAAAAAATTCACCAAAAAATGGCAAAAAAAATTGGCAAAAAAGAGGCAAAAAATTGGCAAAAAAAAATCGGCAAAAAAATTGGCAAAAAAATTCACAAAGAATTGGCAAAAAATTTACAAGAAATTGGCAAACAAATTCATCAAAAATTCACAAAAAATTGGCAAAAAAGGGCAAAAAATGGCAAAAAAAGCGGCAAAAAAATCGCAAAAAATTCACCAAAAATTGGCAAAAAAATCACCAAAAATTCGCAAAAATTCACAAAAAATTCGAAAAAATTCACCAAAAGTTCACCCAAAATTGGCAAAAAAGTCACAAAAAAATTGGCAAAAAATTCACCAAAAGTTCACAAAAATTGGCAAAAAATTCACCAAAAATTCACAAAAATTGGCAAAAAATTGACCCAAAAATTGGCAAAAATTTCACAAAAAATTGGCAAAAAATTGGCAAAAAAAAATGGCAAAAAAAAATAAAATCGCCAAAAATTGGCAAAAAATTCACCAAAAATTGGCAAAAAATTCACCCAAAATTGGCAAAAAAAATTCCAAAAAAATTCCCCTAAAAATAAAAAAAATCCCAAAAAAATAAAAAAAAATCCCCCCCCCAAAATCCCAAAAAATCCCCCAAAATCCAAAAAAATTCCCCAAAAAATCCAAAATAACCCTCAAAAAATTCCCCAAAAATTCCTCAAAAAAATCCCAAAAAATTCCTCAAAAAATCCCCAAAAATTCCCCAAAAAATTTTAAAAAAAATTTCAAAAAAATCCCAAAAAATTCCCAAAAAAATCCCTAAAATTCCCCTGCAGTGGCCGTGCAGGTCCGTGATGAGCGTTCATGCACCACGCTGAGAATTCCTGCAGAAATCCCAGAGTGAGCTGAGACCTGCACGCGCCTTTTCTGGGATTCTCTGGGATTTTCTTGGGATTTTCTTGGGATTTTCTTGGAATTTTCTTGGGATTTTCTTGGGATTTTCTTGGGATTTTCTTGGGATTTTTCCGGGATTTTTCCGGGATTTTTCCGGAATTTTTGTGCGATTTTCGTGGGATTTTTCTGGGATTTTTCCTGGATTTTTCTGGATTTTTCTGGAATTTAACTGGAATTTTTCCGGAATTTTTGGGGATTTTTTCCGGGATTTTTCCGGAATTTTTGTGCGATTTTCGTGGGATTTTTCTGGGATTTTTCCTGGGATTTTTCTGGGATTTTCCTGGATTTTTCTGGAATTTTTGTGGGATTTTTCTGGAGTTTTCCTGGAGTTTTCCTGGATTTTTCCTGGGATTTTCCTGGAATTTAACTTGAATTTTCTTGGGATTTTTCCGAGATTTTCTTGGAATTTTCTTAACTTGAATTTCCCTGGGGTTTCCCTGGGATTTTCCTGGAGTTTTCCTGGATTTTCCTGGATTTTTCCTGGGATTTTCTTGGAATTTTCCTGAGATTTTAGTGGGATTTTTCCTGGGATTTTTCCTGAGATTTTCCTGGAATTTTCCTGCAATTTTCCTGGGATTTTCCTGGAATTTAACTTGAATTTTCCTGGGGTTTCCCTGGGATTTTCCTGGAATTTTTCTGGGGTTTTCCTGGACTTTTCCTGGAGTTTTCCCAGGATTTTCCCGGGATTTTCTTGGAGTTTCCTTGGGATTTTCTGGGATTTTCTTGGGATTTTGCTGGATTTTTCTGGAATTTTCATGGGATTTTTCTGGATTTTTTCCTGGGATTTTCCCGGAATTTTCTTGGAATTTTTCTGGGATTTTCATGGAATTTTCCTGGGATTTTCTGGGATTTTTGTGGGATTTTCCTGGGATTTTGCTGGAGTTTTCATGGGGTTTTCCTGGAAATTTACCTGGAGGTTTCCTGGGATTTCCCTGGAACTTTTCTGGGGTTTTCCTGGGGTTTTTCTGGGATTTTCTTGGAATTTTCCTGGAGTTTCCCTGGGATTTTTCCTGGGATTTTTCTGGATTTTTCCTGGGATTTTTCTGGAATTTTCCTGAGATTTTTCTGGAATTTTCCTGGGATTTTCTTGGAATTTTCCTGGGATTTTCCTGGAGTTTTCCTAGAATTTTCATGGAATTTAACTTGAATTTTCCTGGGGTTTCCCTGGGATTTTCCTGGAGTTTTTCTGGGATTTTCTTGGAATTTTCATGGGATTTTTCCTGGATTTTTTG